AACGAATCTGCAAAGCTGTCAGTGGATTTGACTTCGTCGACGATCAAACATCTCAGGTCGTTGTAAAATTGGGGAATAACGGGCCCCTTGTTGTTGATTATGTCATCTTCATACTGTACACGATTTGGCGACGATTTATCATCAGCTACGAGGCGTGTCAGCTCAGAAATTGATAAATTACTGTTCCCTGGATTTTCATTTCCAAATTCAAATGCTAAACATTCCGTAAATCGGGATTCTCCACACTCATCAACAATATTGCCTGGAAAATAGATAGAAATATATTCAATTAAACGTATGCGACCAATTAAATGCATTCTATATTCCAAACTCATACATCTCAAGCCATCTTCTATAATAGAATAGCCTATTCTGCATTTAAAAAAGCTTCAGAAATAAAGAAATTTACCTGTCACACTGATTATTTCGTAGTTACCCGCCGGAAGTTGTGAAAAATCGGGAATGAAAGAAGCCATGTTGTATTATTTTTTCTTCTCGAAAATTTAGCGCAATGAAATAAAATCCGGGAATGGCAGATTGAGAATGAGATGTCAGAATTGAGTCGATCCTTTTAAATCAACTGCTTTATGATGACTGCTCATGTAGACGGCTTGTTGAAGCCACCCAAAAGAGTTTTCAAACCAGTTAATCCACGGAAAACATTAATCAGTACTGTTAACTAATAATGTCTCCAACACAATTATCGCTGATTACTAATCACCAATCATAACAAGATTTATCTTTATTGAGGATTAAAATGCCGCAGTAAACTCTTGGTTTCAAAGGAGTGTCGCGGGGCGGGCGGTAGGGGGGTTTTTGTTCGCAAATGTCTACTTGTTAATAAAATGACATCGCAGTAAAACTCGCCATAACATTGGGCGTGGAATCAAAATCTGTAAAGGCATTCGAAGATTTTCGCTGCGTTAATTTATCTAGAACTTATAATGCTTGTGAATTTATACTCCGGCGTTTTTGTCTCGTATCACTGTTTTGTCATACCGGCATGACGTGTGTATGAAACTTGGACCAGGTGATTAGCCCACGTTTTGAAAAAATTACTCTGGTTTCTCCTCATTTTTCGTGTAAATCTTTCGCCTTTTACTAAAGATTTCCGTGGGGAGGAACAACTTAATGAGTCTATAGACAATTTCTTTAACCCTCTACGGAGGGTAAATTAAGATAAAAAGAGTGTTAGGGGTTATTTTCCTTATAAAATTTGTTTTGTCATACCGGCATGACGTGTGTATGAAACTTGGACCAGGTGATTAGCCCACGTTTTGAAAAAATTACTCTGGTTTCTCCTCATTTTTCGTGTAAATCTTTCGCCTTTTACTAAAGATTTCCGTGGGGAGGAACAACTTAATGAGTCTATAGACAATTTCTTTTAGCCCTCTACGGAGGGTAAATTAAGATAAAAAGAGTGTTAGGGGTTATTATAAAATTTAAGTATGATAGCCCAAATCAGAGTTGGTTCTGCTGGCAGGAATATGTTGACGCTCGAATGAGCAGAAAACCCGAGGTCCAGCTGTCTAAACACACGAGTACACGTAAAACAAATCTCGTTTCACAGTTGGAATTGATAGCGTGAGTTAGTCTCAAAATGATTAATCAGTACTGATTAATATATACATATCACCTATCATAGCTTGAGTTATGTTTAATAGCAGTCTGTATTCTGTGGATATCAAAAACAAAAAGAGAGTTTTGATCGTTTGCATTACAATTATCGCTGATTACTAATCACCAATCATAACAAGATTTATCTTTATTGAGGATTAAAATGCCGCAGTAAACTCTTGGTTTCAAATTTATCTAGAACTTATGATGCTTGTGAATTTATACTCAGGCGTTTTTGTCTTGTATCACTGTTTTGTCATACCGGCATGACATGTGTATGAAACTTGGACCAGGTGATTTGCCCAGGTTTTGAAAAATTACTCCTGTTTCTTCTCATTTTTCGTGTAAATCTTTGGCCTTTTACTAAAGATTTCCGTGGGGAGGAACAACTTAATGAGTCTATAGACAATTTCTTTAACCCTCTACGGAGGGTAAATTAAGATAAAAAGAGTGTTAGGGGTTATTTTCCTTATAAAATTTGTTTTGTCATACCGGCATGACGTGTGTATGAAACTTGGACCAGGTGATTAGCCCACGTTTTGAAAAAATTACTCTGGTTTCTCCTCATTTTTCGTGTAAATCTTTCGCCTTTTACTAAAGATTTCCGTGGGGAGGAACAACTTAATGAGTCTATAGACAATTTCTTTTAGCCCTCTACGGAGGGTAAATTAAGATAAAAAGAGTGTTAGGGGTTATTTTCCTTATAAAATTTAAGTATGATAGCCCAAATCAGAGTTGGTTCTGCTGGCAGGAATATGTTGACGCTCGAATGAGCAGAAAATCCGAGGTCCAGCTGTCTAAACACACGAGTACACGTAAAACAAATCTCGTGTCACGGTTGGAATTGATAGCGTGAGTTAGTCTCAAAATGATTAATCAGTACTGATTAATATATACATCCACACTTATCGCTGATTACTTATCACCTATCATAGCTTGAGTTATGTTTAATAGCAGTCTGTATTCTGTGGATATCAAAAACAAAAAGAGAGTTGTGATCGTTTGCATTACTAGCGTAGGTCTGTCATTGAGTCAACTGGCGTGGTTTCGGGTCGCCTGTCCAAACTCGTGGGTTTTCTTCGGACCCCCACCCCCTACCACTGCTAAAAAGCCGCACGTGCAAGCGAATTACTGAAATAATAATAAAAAAGAAACATGCATTGGTCCCTAGTTTGTGTCGAGTGTAAGTGTAAGCTGCATTTAATTATCTAGATCTTATAAGGCTTGTGAATTTATTTTCCAGCGTTATTGTCTCCTGTCAGGATCACTGGTTCGTCATAATGGAGTGACACGTAGATTTGTATATGTAACGTGGACCGGGTGATTAGCCCGCGTTTTGAAATATTCCTCTGGTTTTCCTCATCTCTCGTGTAAATCTTTCGCCTTTTACTAAAGATTTCCGTGGGGAGGAAGAACTTAATGAGCCTGTAGACAATTTCTTTAACCCTCTAAGTAGGGTAAAATTAAAATGACTGTAAGTATTCCCCTGTATCCATTTAAGTGATGCAAATGTACCCAAACGAGAATTTCTCCGACTTTCCCCTAATTGTTATAATATAAAGTTCCCTAGGCGCAATCGAATTATTGAAATACTATCGAACCACATGTTAGTCCCGAAATGACCAAGTTATCTCTCTCTCTTTCTCTCTCTCTCATATACAGTAAAAAGAAAACCGAATTCTAATGGCATATTAAAGTTTAATCAAACGTAACAAGAATATATGGTTAAAAAACTTGAACATAAAGAAAATAAAACAAAGCATAAACAACAGCAGATCATTCACACTCTTCGGAGAAGTCGCTGCCTTCGTTTGACTTTAGCTATCTCTGTCAGGGATCTTGTGTTTCTCGCACGACTTCTTTTATTACCAAACCACTTTTTGACCTGTTCCGTTGTTAGACCCGAAATCTCGGCCAGTTGTTCAACTTGCTGGGCCGTGGGATACGGGTGAACTAAGTGTGACTGGTACCATTGTTCTAGTACTTTCAGGGACCGACGACACAAGACTGGACGAGTCCTCGCCGTTGTTGACGACTTGCTCGGTTCAGTGCGTGATGCCAATAACTGTAAACTAGATTCTACCCGGTCGATGATCATGCGTAGCTGGTTGTCAAGTTCCACATGGAGCGACTGTTGCTGAACTTTGGATGGACAGGACTGAACACGGCTCATTCTCTCCATGTCAATGCTGGCGGAATGAAAGCGGTAAAAGCAAGATAGTTGTTGAACCATGTCAGGATATTCAGGTTGAAGTTTGGAAAACATCTGAAGGAGTGATTCTTCTCTTTCTCTGATATTCACCACCTCGTGGGTTGAAAACATCAACGAATCTGCAAAGCTGTCAGTGGATTTGACTTCGTCGACGATCAAACATCTCAGGTCGTTGTAAAATTGGGGAATAACGGGCCCCTTGTTGTTGATTATGTCATCTTCATACTGTACACGATTTGGCGACGATTTATCATCAGCTACGAGGCGTGTCAGCTCAGAAATTGATAAATTACTGTTCCCTGGATTTTCATTTCCAAATTCAAATGCTAAACATTCCGTAAATCGGGATTCTCCACACTCATCAACAATATTGCCTGGAAAATAGATAGAAATATATTCAATTAAACGTATGCGACCAATTAAATGCATTCTATATTCCAAACTCATACATCTCAAGCCATCTTCTATAATAGAATAGCCTATTCTGCATTTAAAAAAGCTTCAGAAATAAAGAAATTTACCTGTCACACTGATTATTTCGTAGTTACCCGCCGGAAGTTGTGAAAAATCGGGAATGAAAGAAGCCATGTTGTATTATTTTTGCTTCTCGAAAATTTAGCGCAATGAAATAAAATCCGGGAATGGCAGATTGAGAATGAGATGTCAGAATTGAGTCGATCCTTATAAATCAACTGCTTTATGATGACTGCTCATGTGGACGGCTTGTTGAAGCCACCCAAAAGAGTTTTCAAACCAGTTAATCCACGGAAAACATTAATCAGTACTGTTAACTAATAATGTCTCCAACACAATTATCGCTGATTACTAATCACCAATCATAACAAGATTTATCTTTATTGAGGATTAAAATGCCGCAGTAAACTCTTGGTTTCAAAGGAGGGTCGCGGGGCGGGCGGTGGGGGGGGGGGGCGTTGTTTGCAAATGTCTACTTGTTAATAAAATGACATCGCAGTAAAACTCGCCATAACATTGGGCGTGGAATCAAAATCTGTAAAGGCATTCGAAGATTTTCGCTGCGTTAATTTATCTAGAACTTATAATGCTTGTGAATTTATACTCCGGCGTTTTTGTCTCGTATCACTGTTTTGTCATACCGGCATGACGTGTGTATGAAACTTTGACCAGGTGATTAGCCCACGTTTTGTTAAAATTACTCTGGTTTCTCCTCATTTTTCGTGTAAATCTTTCGCCTTTTACTAAAGATTTCCGTGGGGAGGAACAACTTAATGAGTCTATAGACAATTTCTTTAACCCTCTACCGGCATGACGTGTGTATGAAACTTGGACCAGGTGATTAGCCCACGTTTTGTTAAAATTACTCTGGTTTCTCCTCATTTTTCGTGTAAATCTTTCGCCTTTTACTAAAGATTTCCGTGGGGAGGAACAACTTAATGAGTCTATAGACAATTTCTTTAACCCTCTACGGAGGGTAAATTAAGATAAAAAGAGTGTTAGGGGTTATTTTCCTTATAAAATTTGTTTTGTCATACCGGCATGACGTGTGTATGAAACTTGGACCAGGTGATTAGCCCACGTTTTGAAAAAATTACTCTGGTTTCTCCTCATTTTTCGTGTAAATCTTTCGCCTTTTACTAAAGATTTCCGTGGGGAGGAACAACTTAATGAGTCTATAGACAATTTCTTTTAGCCCTCTACGGAGGGTAAATTAAGATAAAAAGAGTGTTAGGGGTTATTATAAAATTTAAGTATGATAGCCCAAATCAGAGTTGGTTCTGCTGGCAGGAATATGTTGACGCTCGAATGAGCAGAAAACCCGAGGTCCAGCTGTCTAAACACACGGGTACACGTAAAACAAATCTCGTTTCACAGTTGGAATTGATAGCGTGAGTTAGTCTCAAAATGATTAATCAGTACTGATTAATATATACATATCACCTATCATAGCTTGAGTTATGTTTAATAGCAGTCTGTATTCTGTGGATATCAAAAACAAAAAGAGAGTTGTGATCGTTTGCATTACAATTATCGCTGATTACTAATCACCAATCATAACAAGATTTATCTTTATTGAGGATTAAAATGCCGCAGTAAACTCTTGGTTTCAAATTTATCTAGAACTTATGATGCTTGTGAATTTATACTCAGGCGTTTTTGTCTTGTATCACTGTTTTGTCATACCGGCATGACATGTGTATGAAACTTGGACCAGGTGATTTGCCCAGGTTTTGAAAAATTACTCCTGTTTCTTCTCATTTTTCGTGTAAATCTTTGGCCTTTTACTAAAGATTTCCGTGGGGAGGAACAACTTAATGAGTCTAAAGACAATTTCTTTAACCCTCTACGGAGGGTAAATTAAGATAAAAAGAGTGTTAGGGGTTATTTTCCTTATAAAATTTGTTTTGTCATACCGGCATGACGTGTGTATGAAACTTGGACCAGGTGATTAGCCCACGTTTTGAAAAAATTACTCTGGTTTCTCCTCATTTTTCGTGTAAATCTTTCGCCTTTTACTAAAGATTTCCGTGTCACGGTTGGAATTGATAGCGTGAGTTAGTCTCAAAATGATTAATCAGTACTGATTAATATATACATCCACACTTATCGCTGATTACTTATCACCTATCATAGCTTGAGTTATGTTTAATAGCAGTCTGTATTCTGTGGATATCAAAAACAAAAAGAGAGTTGTGATCGTTTGCATTACTAGCGTAGGTCTGTCATTGAGTCAACTGGCGTGGTTTCGATTTCCCGGTTATACTTGTCAAGGAGTCGGGTCGCATGTCCAAACTCGTGGGTTTTCTTCGGACCCCCACCCCCTACCACTGCTAAAAAGCCGCACGTGCAAGCGAATTACTGAAATAATAATAAAAAAGAAACATGCATTGGTCCCTAGTTTGTGTCGAGTGTAAGTGTAAGCTGCATTTAATTATCTAGATCTTATAAGGCTTGTGAATTTATTTTCCAGCGTTATTGTCTCCTGTCAGGATCACTGGTTCGTCATAATGGAGTGACACGTAGATTTGTATATGTAACGTGGACCGGGTGATTAGCCCGCGTTTTGAAATATTCCTCTGGTTTTCCTCATCTCTCGTGTAAATCTTTCGCCTTTTACTAAAGATTTCCGTGGGGAGGAAGAACTTAATGAGCCTGTAGACAATTTCTTTAACCCTCTAAGTAGGGTAAAATTAAAATGACTGTAAGTATTCCCCTGTATCCATTTAAGTGATGCAAATGTACCCAAACGAGAATTTCTCCGACTTTCCCCTAATTGTTATAATATAAAGTTCCCTAGGTGCAATCGAATTATTGAAATACTATCGAACCACATGTTAGTCCCGAAATGACCAAGTTATCTCTCTCTCTTTCTCTCTCTCTCATATACAGTAAAAAGAAAACCGAATTCTAATGGCATATTAAAGTTTAATCAAACGTAACAAGAATATATGGTTACAAAACTTGAACATAAAGAAAATAAAACAAAGCATAAACAACAGCAGATCATTCACACTCTTCGGAGAAGTCGCTGCCTTCGTTTGACTTTAGCTATCTCTGTCAGGGATCTTGTGTTTCTCGCACGACTTCTTTTATTACCAAACCACTTTTTGACCTGTTCCGTTGTTAGACCCGAAATCTCGGCCAGTTGTTCAACTTGCTGGGCCGTGGGATACGGGTGAACTAAGTGTGACTGGTACCATTGTTCTAGTACTTTCAGGGACCGACGACACAAGACTGGACGAGTCCTCGCCGTTGTTGACGACTTGCTCGGTTCAGTGCGTGATGCCAATAACTGTAAACTAGATTCTACCCGGTCGATGATCATGCGTAGCTGGTTGTCAAGTTCCACATGGAGCGACTGTTGCTGAACTTTGGATGGACAGGACTGAACACGGTTCATTCTCTCCATGTCAATGCTGGCGGAATGGAAGCGGTAAAAGCAAGATAGTTGTTGAACCATGTCAGGATATTCAGGTTGAAGTTTGGAAAACATCTGAAGGAGTGATTCTTCTCTTTCTCTGATATTCACCACCTCGTGGGTTGAAAACATCAACGAATCTGCAAAGCTGTCAGTGGATTTGACTTCGTCGACGATCAAACATCTCAGGTCGTTGTAAAATTGGGGAATAACGGGCCCCTTGTTGTTGATTATGTCATCTTCATACTGTACACGATTTGGCGACGATTTATCATCAGCTACGAGGCGTGTCAGCTCAGAAATTGATAAATTACTGTTCCCTGGATTTTCATTTCCAAATTCAAATGCTAAACATTCCGTAAATCGGGATTCTCCACACTCATCAACAATATTGCCTGGAAAATAGATAGAAATATATTCAATTAAACGTATGCGACCAATTAAATGCATTCTATATTCCAAACTCATACATCTCAAGCCATCTTCTATAATAGAATAGCCTATTCTGCATTTAAAAAAGCTTCAGAAATAAAGAAATTTACCTGTCACACTGATTATTTCGTAGTTACCCGCCGGAAGTTGTGAAAAATCGGGAATGAAAGAAGCCATGTTGTATTATTTTTTCTTCTCGAAAATTTAGCGCAATGAAATAAAATCCGGGAATGGCAGATTGAGAATGAGATGTCAGAATTGAGTCGATCCTTATAAATCAACTGCTTTATGATGACTGCTCATGTGGACGGCTTGTTGAAGCCACCCAAAAGAGTTTTCAAACCAGTTAATCCACGGAAAACATTAATCAGTACTGTTAACTAATAATGTCTCCAACACAATTATCGCTGATTACTAATCACCAATCATAACAAGATTTATCTTTATTGAGGATTAAAATGCCGCAGTAAACTCTTGGTTTCAAAGGAGGGTCGCGGGGCGGGCGTTGTTCGCAAATGTCTACTTGTTAATAAAATGACATCGCAGTAAAACTCGCCATAACATTGGGCGTGGAATCAAAATCTGTAAAGGCATTCGAAGATTTTCGCTGCGTTAATTTATCTAGAACTTATAATGCTTGTGAATTTATACTCCGGCGTTTTTGTCTCGTATCACTGTTTTGTCATACCGGCATGACGTGTGTATGAAACTTGGACCAGGTGATTAGCCCACGTTTTGATAAAATTACTCTGGTTTCTCCTCATTTTTCGTGTAAATCTTTCGCCTTTTACTAAAGATTTCCGTGGGGAGGAACAACTTAATGAGTCTATAGACAATTTCTTTAACCCTCTACGGAGGGTAAATTAAGATAAAAAGAGTGTTAGGGGTTATTTTCCTTATAAAATTTGTTTTGTCATACCGGCATGACGTGTGTATGAAACTTGGACCAGGTGATTAGCCCACGTTTTGAAAAAATTACTCTGGTTTCTCCTCATTTTTCGTGTAAATCTTTCGCCTTTTACTAAAGATTTCCGTGGGGAGGAACAACTTAATGAGTCTATAGACAATTTCTTTTAGCCCTCTACGGAGGGTAAATTAAGATAAAAAGAGTGTTAGGGGTTATTATAAAATTTAAGTATGATAGCCCAAATCAGAGTTGGTTCTGCTGGCAGGAATATGTTGACGCTCGAATGAGCAGAAAACCCGAGGTCCAGCTGTCTAAACACACGAGTACACGTAAAACAAATCTCGTTTCACAGTTGGAATTGATAGCGTGAGTTAGTCTCAAAATGATTAATCAGTACTGATTAATATATACATATCACCTATCATAGCTTGAGTTATGTTTAATAGCAGTCTGTATTCTGTGGATATCAAAAACAAAAAGAGAGTTGTGATCGTTTGCATTACAATTATCGCTGATTACTAATCACCAATCATAACAAGATTTATCTTTATTGAGGATTAAAATGCCGCAGTAAACTCTTGGTTTCAAATTTATCTAGAACTTATGATGCTTGTGAATTTATACTCAGGCGTTTTTGTCTTGTATCACTGTTTTGTCATACCGGCATGACATGTGTATGAAACTTGGACCAGGTGATTTGCCCAGGTTTTGAAAAATTACTCCTGTTTCTTCTCATTTTTCGTGTAAATCTTTGGCCTTTTACTAAAGATTTCCGTGGGGAGGAACAACTTAATGAGTCTAAAGACAATTTCTTTAACCCTCTACGGAGGGTAAATTAAGATAAAAAGAGTGTTAGGGGTTATTTTCCTTATAAAATTTGTTTTGTCATACCGGCATGACGTGTGTATGAAACTTGGACCAGGTGATTAGCCCACGTTTTGAAAAAATTACTCTGGTTTCTCCTCATTTTTCGTGTAAATCTTTCGCCTTTTACTAAAGATTTCCGTGTCACGGTTGGAATTGATAGCGTGAGTTAGTCTCAAAATGATTAATCAGTACTGATTAATATATACATCCACACTTATCGCTGATTACTTATCACCTATCATAGCTTGAGTTATGTTTAATAGCAGTCTGTATTCTGTGGATATCAAAAACAAAAAGAGAGTTGTGATCGTTTGCATTACTAGCGTAGGTCTGTCATTGAGTCAACTGGCGTGGTTTCGATTTCCCGGTTATACTTGTCAAGGAGTCGGGTCGCATGTCCAAACTCGTGGGTTTTCTTCGGACCCCCACCCCCTACCACTGCTAAAAAGCCGCACGTGCAAGCGAATTACTGAAATAATAATAAAAAAGAAACATGCATTGGTCCCTAGTTTGTGTCGAGTGTAAGTGTAAGCTGCATTTAATTATCTAGATCTTATAAGGCTTGTGAATTTATTTTCCAGCGTTATTGTCTCCTGTCAGGATCACTGGTTCGTCATAATGGAGTGACACGTAGATTTGTATATGTAACGTGGACCGGGTGATTAGCCCGCGTTTTGAAATATTCCTCTGGTTTTCCTCATCTCTCGTGTAAATTTTTCGCCTTTTACTAAAGATTTCCGTGGGGAGGAAGAACTTAATGAGCCTGTAGACAATTTCTTTAACCCTCTAAGTAGGGTAAAATTAAAATGACTGTAAGTATTCCCCTGTATCCATTTAAGTGATGAAAATGTACCCAAACGAGAATTTCTCCGACTTTCCCCTAATTGTTATAATATAAAGTTCCCTAGGTGCAATCGAATTATTGAAATACTATCGAACCACATGTTAGTCCCGAAATGACCAAGTTATCTCTCTCTCTTTCTCTCTCTCTCATATACAGTAAAAAGAAAACCGAATTCTAATGGCATATTAAAGTTTAATCAAACGTAACAAGAATATATGGTTACAAAACTTGAACATAAAGAAAATAAAACAAAGCATAAACAACAGCAGATCATTCACACTCTTCGGAGAAGTCGCTGCCTTCGTTTGACTTTAGCTATCTCTGTCAGGGATCTTGTGTTTCTCGCACGACTTCTTTTATTACCAAACCACTTTTTGACCTGTTCCGTTGTTAGACCCGAAATCTCGGCCAGTTGTTCAACTTGCTGGGCCGTGGGATACGGGTGAACTAAGTGTGACTGGTACCATTGTTCTAGTACTTTCAGGGACCGACGACACAAGACTGGACGAGTCCTCGCCGTTGTTGACGACTTGCTCGGTTCAGTGCGTGATGCCAATAACTGTAAACTAGATTCTACCCGGTCGATGATCATGCGTAGCTGGTTGTCAAGTTCCACATGGAGCGACTGTTGCTGAACTTTGGATGGACAGGACTGAACACGGTTCATTCTCTCCATGTCAATGCTGGCGGAATGGAAGCGGTAAAAGCAAGATAGTTGTTGAACCATGTCAGGATATTCAGGTTGAAGTTTGGAAAACATCTGAAGGAGTGATTCTTCTCTTTCTCTGATATTCACCACCTCGTGGGTTGAAAACATCAACGAATCTGCAAAGCTGTCAGTGGATTTGACTTCGTCGACGATCAAACATCTCAGGTCGTTGTAAAATTGGGGAATAACGGGCCCCTTGTTGTTGATTATGTCATCTTCATACTGTACACGATTTGGCGACGATTTATCATCAGCTACGAGGCGTGTCAGCTCAGAAATTGATAAATTACTGTTCCCTGGATTTTCATTTCCAAATTCAAATGCTAAACATTCCGTAAATCGGGATTCTCCACACTCATCAACAATATTGCCTGGAAAATAGATAGAAATATATTCAATTAAACGTATGCGACCAATTAAATGCATTCTATATTCCAAACTCATACATCTCAAGCCATCTTCTATAATAGAATAGCCTATTCTGCATTTAAAAAAGCTTCAGAAATAAAGAAATTTACCTGTCACACTGATTATTTCGTAGTTACCCGCCGGAAGTTGTGAAAAATCGGGAATGAAAGAAGCCATGTTGTATTATTTTTTCTTCTCGAAAATTTAGCGCAATGAAATAAAATCCGGGAATGGCAGATTGAGAATGAGATGTCAGAATTGAGTCGATCCTTATAAATCAACTGCTTTATGATGACTGCTCATGTGGACGGCTTGTTGAAGCCACCCAAAAGAGTTTTCAAACCAGTTAATCCACGGAAAACATTAATCAGTACTGTTAACTAATAATGTCTCCAACACAATTATCGCTGATTACTAATCACCAATCATAACAAGATTTATCTTTATTGAGGATTAAAATGCCGCAGTAAACTCTTGGTTTCAAAGGAGGGTCGCGGGGCGGGCGTTGTTCGCAAATGTCTACTTGTTAATAAAATGACATCGCAGTAAAACTCGCCATAACATTGGGCGTGGAATCAAAATCTGTAAAGGCATTCGAAGATTTTCGCTGCGTTAATTTATCTAGAACTTATAATGCTTGTGAATTTATACTCCGGCGTTTTTGTCTCGTATCACTGTTTTGTCATACCGGCATGACGTGTGTATGAAACTTGGACCAGGTGATTAGCCCACGTTTTGATAAAATTACTCTGGTTTCTCCTCATTTTTCGTGTAAATCTTTCGCCTTTTACTAAAGATTTCCGTGGGGAGGAACAACTTAATGAGTCTATAGACAATTTCTTTAACCCTCTACGGAGGGTAAATTAAGATAAAAAGAGTGTTAGGGGTTATTTTCCTTATAAAATTTGTTTTGTCATACCGGCATGACGTGTGTATGAAACTTGGACCAGGTGATTAGCCCACGTTTTGAAAAAATTACTCTGGTTTCTCCTCATTTTTCGTGTAAATCTTTCGCCTTTTACTAAAGATTTCCGTGGGGAGGAACAACTTAATGAGTCTATAGACAATTTCTTTTAGCCCTCTACGGAGGGTAAATTAAGATAAAAAGAGTGTTAGGGGTTATTTTCCTTATAAAATTTAAGTATGATAGCCCAAATCAGAGTTGGTTCTGCTGGCAGGAATATGTTGACGCTCGAATGAGCAGAAAACCCGAGGTCCAGCTGTCTAAACACACGAGTACACGTAAAACAAATCTCGTTTCACAGTTGGAATTGATAGCGTGAGTTAGTCTCAAAATGATTAATCAGTACTGATTAATATATACATCCACACTTATCGCTGATTACTTATCACCTATCATAGCTTGAGTTATGTTTAATAGCAGTCTGTATTCTGTGGATATCAAAAACAAAAAGAGAGTTGTGATCGTTTGCATTACTAGCGTAGGTCTGTCATTGAGTCAACTGGCGTGGTTTCGATTTCCCGGTTATACTTGTCAAGGAGTCGGGTCGCATGTCCAAACTCGTGGGTTTTCTTCGGACCCCCACCCCCTACCACTGCTAAAAAGCCGCACGTGCAAGCGAATTACTGAAATAATAATAACAAAGAAACATGCATTGGTCCCTAGTTTGTGTCGAGTGTAAGTGTAAGCTGCATTTAATTATCTAGATCTTATAAGGCTTGTGAATTTATTTTCCAGCGTTATTGTCTCCTGTCAGGATCACTGGTTCGTCATAATGGAGTGACACGTAGATTTGTATATGTAACGTGGACCGGGTGATTAGCCCGCGTTTTGAAATATTCCTCTGGTTTTCCTCATCTCTCGTGTAAATTTTTCGCCTTTTACTAAAGATTTCCGTGGGGAGGAAGAACTTAATGAGCCTGTAGACAATTTCTTTAACCCTCTAAGTAGGGTAAAATTAAAATGACTGTAAGTATTCCCCTGTATCCATTTAAGTGATGCAAATGTACCCAAACGAGAATTTCTCCGACTTTCCCCTAATTGTTATAATATAAAGTTCCCTAGGCGCAATCGAATTATTGAAATACTATCGAACCACATGTTAGTCCCGAAATGACCAAGTTATCTCTCTCTCTTTCTCTCTCTCTCATATACAGTAAAAAGAAAACCGAATTCTAATGGCATATTAAAGTTTAATCAAACGTAACAAGAATATATGGTTACAAAACTTGAACATAAAGAAAATAAAACAAAGCATAAACAACAGCAGATCATTCACACTCTTCGGAGAAGTCGCTGCCTTCGTTTGACTTTAGCTATCTCTGTCAGGGATCTTGTGTTTCTCGCACGACTTCTTTTATTACCAAACCACTTTTTGACCTGTTCCGTTGTTAGACCCGAAATCTCGGCCAGTTGTTCAACTTGCTGGGCCGTGGGATACGGGTGAACTAAGTGTGACTGGTACCATTGTTCTAGTACTTTCAGGGACCGACGACACAAGACTGGACGAGTCCTCGCCGTTGTTGACGACTTGCTCGGTTCAGTGCGTGATGCCAATAACTGTAAACTAGATTCTACCCGGTCGATGATCATGCGTAGCTGGTTGTCAAGTTCCACATGGAGCGACTGTTGCTGAACTTTGGATGGACAGGACTGAACACGGTTCATTCTCTCCATGTCAATGCTGGCGGAATGGAAGCGGTAAAAGCAAGATAGTTGTTGAACCATGTCAGGATATTCAGGTTGAAGTTTGGAAAACATCTGAAGGAGTGATTCTTCTCTTTCTCTGATATTCACCACCTCGTGGGTTGAAAACATCAACGAATCTGCAAAGCTGTCAGTGGATTTGACTTCGTCGACGATCAAACATCTCAGGTCGTTGTAAAATTGGGGAATAACGGGCCCCTTGTTGTTGATTATGTCATCTTCATACTGTACACGATTTGGCGACGATTTATCATCAGCTACGAGGCGTGTCAGCTCAGAAATTGATAAATTACTGTTCCCTGGATTTTCATTTCCAAATTCAAATGCTAAACATTCCGTAAATCGGGATTCTCCACACTCATCAACAATATTGCCTTGAAAATAGATAGAAATATATTCAATTAAACGTATGCGACCAATTAAATGCATTCTATATTCCAAACTCATACATCTCAAGCCATCTTCTATAATAGAATAGCCTATTCTGCATTTAAAAAAGCTTCAGAAATAAAGAAATTTACCTGTCACACTGATTATTTCGTAGTTACCCGCCGGAAGTTGTGAAAAATCG